ACAATAAAAAAACCCAAGATAGTTTTTTAAAAAAAATCATGAACAATGATAGAAGTTCTGGAGGTATCACCATCTCCGATTTCATCTGTGCTACACAGCAATAGTAATAAAAACTGCATAAAATTGCCATAAACAGGTTGATCAATGGAATGGTATTAAAAACCTAGAATGAAATCCATGCACTTAGAGACACTTGAGTTTTTGGCAAAGAAGCCAAAACTGTACAATGGAAAAAGGGAAGCAACTTCAAAAAATGGTGCTGATCTATACACCCATATTTATCACCCTGCACAAAACTCAAGTCCAAATGCATTGGTACAGGAAACAACTTCTTGAACAGAACACCAATAGCTCAGGCACTAAGATCAACAATTAATAAATGGATCCTTATAAAACTGAAAAGCTTTATGGCAAAGGATACCATCAATAGGACAAAAAGGCAGCCTACAGAATAAAAAATGATCGTCAACAATCCAACAGTGGACTAATATCCAAAATATATAATGAACTCAAGAAATTAAATATCAACAAACCAAATATCCCAATTAAAAATGGGGTATGGATTTCCTGCACTCTGCCCAAAGTTTAACTATGAGTCTCAGCATATGTTTTGATACCCTGCTGGGTAGAGTCTTTCAGAAGCCCTCTGTGATATGCTCCTGTCCTGTTCCCTGTTTTCTCCCTCTTCTGATGTCTGTCTTGTTTGCCTTTCTGAATGAAGATTGAGCATCTTACCCAGGATCCTCCTTCTTGATTAGCTTCCTTAGGTGTACAGATTTTAGTATGATTATCCTATATTATATGTCTAATATCTACTTGTAAGTGAGCATATACCATGTGTGTCTTTCTGCTTCTGAGATACCTCACTCAGGATGATCTTTCCTAGATCCCAGCATTTGCATGCAAATTTCATGATTTCCTTGTTTTTAATTGCTGAGTAGTATTCCATTGTGTAAATATACCAGAATTTCTGTCTCCATTCTTCAATGGAGGGACATCTGGGTTGTTTTCAGCTTCTGGCTATTACAAATAAAGCTGCTATGAACATGGATGAACAAATGTCCTTTTTGTATACCTAAGCATATTTTGGATATATGCCTAGGAGTGGTATAGCTGGATCTTGAGGTAGTACTATACCTAATATTCTGATTAGGCAGAGTGCAGGGAATTTTATGAAAGAAGGGTTAGATAGAAGGATCTGGAGGGGATATGAGCTCCACAAGGAGAGCAACAGAATCAAAAAAATTGGGCTCAGGGGTCTTTTATGAGACTGATACTCCAAACAAAGGCCATGCATGGTGATAACCTAGAACCCTTGCACAGAAGTAGCCCACAGCCGCTCAGTGTCCAAGAGGGTTCACCAGTAATAGGAAGAGGGACTGTCTCTGACATGAACTCATGGGCTGGCTCTTTAATCACCTCTACCTGATGGGGGAGGAGCCTTACCAGTCCACAGAGGAAGACAATGAAGCCAGTCCTGATGAAACCTGATAGACTAGGGTCAGATGGAAGGGGAGGAGGACCTCTCCTATCATTGGACTGGGGAGGGGCAGAGGAGAAGTTGAGGGAGGGAAAGTGGAATTGGGAAGGAATGGGGCAGTGGGCTACAGCTGGGATACAAAGTGAATAAACTGTAATTAATAAAAATAAAATTAAAATTAAAAAAAGAAAAAACTGGGGTACACAGCTAACAAAGAATTCTCAACAGAGGAATTTCTATTGTCAGAAAAGCACCTAAAGAAATGTTCAGCATCTTTAATCATTACAGAAATGCAAATCAAAACAACTCTGAGATTCTACCTTACACCTATCAGAATGGCTAAGATCAAAAACTCCAGTGATAGCACATGCTCGCAAGGATGTAGAGCAAGACAAACACTCTTTCACTGGTGGTGGGAGTACCCACTTGTACAACCACTGTGGAAATCTGGCAGTTTCTCAGAAAATTGGGAATGAGTGAAAGCAGGTAAGCAAAAATAAAAACTGTCAGTTATCATAAAAAAAAAATGTTTCAGTGATGAACGGAAACTTGCCTGAGTGGGTTTATAATTGAAAGGACTGTCTAGAATGAACCAAAAAAGTGGGACCACCTTACTAGTATTGGATTAAAGAGGTTTTCCTTTCAAAACAGACAATTTAGCATAAATAAGGCTTTCATCACAAGTACAGTATAATAAGTCATGGGAAACACGGGATACATCAGGGTTTAATTGCTAGATATGAATTATTGCATGCATTTAGGACATGGAACATATAATGAAAAATGTTTAAGTAAAATGGATAATGTATAAATGAAAAGTTGTGATGGAAAGAGAAAGAGTGCATCACCAGATAACAATCACTGCATAGGCAGAGAAAATTGTCATAAGAACATCACATACAACTTAATTTACTGGGCAATTGTGGCTAATACAGTTCTTCTGATTGTGTTAGAATATTGATACACTAGTGTAAAGGGCATTGGAAGTACAAGCTACAGCAAAATTCTACTGTGTTCTATGTGGTGCATTAAGAAGATTGCTAATGCACTATCAATACTTTATAGATGTGGAAACTTAAAGTCTTAGAGAATACACACCCACCTTCACCAGCTCATTTACCTAACTTGTGACAGAGGCGCGCAACAGACTTCACATTTGAATCTATTTTTCCTAGAGTGACTACAAAATTTACCACCCAGATTAGGATAATCTTGAGTGACAGTTACAGGTATAACAGTTGCAGAGGAAAACATGTATATACCAAGTTTCCAAGAACAAATGAGATGCGTACAACTTTTCCTCTGCACCTAATCGTCATTTCAAAACATTGTATTTGATTCCACAATTGTCATGGATACATTTGTTTTATTTTTCTCTTTTGGATTTTTACTTATTTGTGCCTTAATTTGTTTTCCTCTTAGACAAGTCAAGTACTCATTAGGTAGCCCGAATTTCCTAGAATTCACTGTGCAGGCCAGCCTGGCCTGAGACCCTTGGTCGTCAAGCTTCAGCCTTTGAGTAAAAGGAATGCAGTTGTGCATATCCACAATACTTAATTATATGATAAAATGTAATGTCCATGATAAGTTTACCTTAAAACTTAATAATCTTTAGAAAGTTTAGAAAACTACAATGAAGACAAAACAACTTAAATATGCCTAAGGGATTATTTATTGAAATGACTGGAAAGGAAATAGTTTCTCAGAGAAATAACAGCAAATCCAATTCCAAAAACTATTTTGTATACATTATTGGCATGCATTTTCAACTCAAAATTGAACATTTATAGTACTGTATGAAATATAATTGGAAAGCATAAAGAGTTCATGAGTCAAATTCAAATGAAACAAATACCATATAATACATAGAATAAAATAATAAACTTTCTTTTTTTTCTTTGTAGATTATTCAGAAATTTCTCATTTTTGTAGCATGATCCATTGATGGAAACTTTGTTGCATTTCCAGTCTCAGTCAATTCTGTGAAATAAAGAAATAGAATCAGTTTGTGTATGTGTGTGTGTATTAGATCAGTTGGAAAGTCAACCTTTCTAATGTTACAACCCTTTAATACAGTTCCTCACTTTACGGTGAACCCCAAAACCATAAAATTATACTGTTGCTACCTCATAACTGTAATTTTGCACTGTTATAAATCATAATGTAAATATTGTATATACAGGGTATATGATATACAACCCCTGTGAAAGGGTCATTCGACCCCCAAAAGGATGAGACTCACAAGTTGAGAACTGCTGTGTTATATTAATTCACTTCTCAACATTTGTACTTCAAAACAGCAACTGTTTTACAAATGTACTCTCTTGTTCCTTTCTTTAAAGATATATAAACTCCTGTTCAGTGCCACATCAGCTCACAAGAAATTGTTGCAAAGTGTATAGCATTTCTTCAGTCCTAAGAGGATTTATAGTTTAGAATCTCAGTGCTATATTCTCTGCCAGTTGTACCATTAAATAGCTGGACTGAGTAATTTGTTCTTGACTCATGAATGAAAAAAAAAAAAAAAACAATTTTAAATGCATCAAATACAAACTTTATGACACCTAAGATACACATTGAAAAGAAAACTGTCTTGTAACAAAAGCTAAAATTAGTCACATAAAATGTAAGAAAAATTTATTTCTGCCTTTTTTTAACAACACGATGCTAGAAGATGTAAAAATAAAAGCTTTGGAATGAGACAGAACTATATTAATGGCAAATAAATAAAATTAAAAGTTTGTTGAACTATAAACTATGCCTAGTGTCATGTTGGCAAGAGACAGGGATGACTGAACCTGCAGTGATGAGTTAATGCTGTTCTGCTGTGTCTATTTAGAAAAAAAAATAATGTAGTACAAAAAGACACTGAATATAAAAATCACCATTCTGCTCATTAATTTCTGAGAACTTACCAAAATCAAGGAGGAGATAATAACCTGGAAATCCTCTTAGACCTGAAATGCAAACAAATACAGATAAAACAATATGCATTTTCCCTCAGTGTAACACTTGCCTGAAGTGTGTTCTATGTGACAAATGAAACATCTCAGTCTTTTTACTCCATCTACATATGGTCAAAAGAACCAATAAACTGCTGTATGTGGATAATATATACACACAAGGAAATTTTAGAACTCCATAAAAGGAAATTTGTTACCCAAATCTAATAGGCTTACCAAATTTATTTGTGGTTTAGTTGATTAATATTTTTAACTCAAAATTCTCAGTCTACCAATTAACTCAGACTTCTTGTAATTATCTGTTCCCAACATGCCATTACCCCTACCTAGATAACCATAACAGTTATATCGTAATTGTGAGGGACTAGGTACTAAGCACTGGGAATTAAGTTGAAGTGAAGCTCTCCAGGTGATTCTATTTTATAGCAAACTTTAAGGAGCATCATTTATTCATGAACTATGCTTTTATTCTTTCATTCTAGTGCTCTCATTTTCTCTATTAATATTGTGATATGCACATTTTGAAGGAAACTGAAAGGAGGTAAATTTAAACTTACAGTAACGTGATGAACTCGTTGAGTGGTAGGGACCTGGATGATGGGGTTAAGCAGAAGTTCTAGGTAGTGCAGAAGTTCTTGGACAGACATATCTCCTTGAAGGAAGGGTGCTACTTGCAGGAGAGCGTACAGATCTTTGGACTGAGGAAGAGACCTCTGGGGCTGAGAAGAAACCACTGGAGACTGAGGAGAAGCCTGCACAGCTTGTGCCAGGAGCTGGACCAGAGACTGAGAAAGATGCTGGTTTGCAAGCTCAGCAACACTGGGGATTTGAGAGCTGAAGAGGCGGAGGACAGTTTCAGAGTTAAGGAAGGGCATCTCTTTGTGCTTGGGAAGGATGGAGGCTTTAGCTTTAAGGAAGGCTTCCAGTTCAGGAGAAATGACAGGTCCCAGAGAAGGCACCACGGGGGGCTGAGCAACAGGCTGGATGGTTTGTGCGAGGGGAGCGCAAGAGATGGGCTGAGCATATGGAAAAGCCTGGGATTGAGACTGGATGGAGTGAACTTTATCCTGGAGCACATCCTAGAAGGAAGAGAGCCTTTCAGTCTGCAATTCAGCAACATTGTCATTTTGATTAGTAAATAATCATTTAGCCAGTGATAATTAGATAAAGGAGTGAACAACACAACATCAACAAAACCTTCATTAGCTTACAAAAATATTTTGGCCTAGCTGGATAAGGTGTCTAATGCCTCTAAAGCTAGCAGTTGGAAGTCTGAAGCACAAGGATTGCTATGACTTTGAGACCAACCTGAGCCAAAAAGTAAGTTCTAGGCAAGCCTAGGGTACAGAGTAAGAGGCTATCTCAACGTTTGTTTGTTTAAGATACACAAAATAAGAAGAGTTTGTCTTGGACCACATGAGGAAAATAAGTAGTGTTCTTAAGGGATTTCTCCTAACCTATTCTAGTCAAAGACGAATTACAGCTCAAAATAAAATTAAGATTCAAGATTTTTCAGAATCTTTTCATTTGAACTACAAAACAGACTAGTCAGCAAGATTCTTCATCTTCTAGGAGGTCAGTTTAGGACTTCTGCCACATTGTCAATGTTTCCTTTCATCATCATGTTCAGTTAGAAAACGAAAGGAATATGCTTCCTACTGGGGAAACTCTTAATTTAATTATTAAGAACAGATAATACCAGTAGTAACTGCAATCATGATTTAGAAAATGTATTGACACCTTAAGGAACTTTCAAGGCATAAATTCTTCATGAGCAATTTACCTCTGCCTGCAGCTGTTCCATGCGTTTCACCTTCTGAAGTTTCTGCTAAAAATAAACCAATTTTTTTTTAAAAGTTCAAAATTTTCACCTTTAAAAATAAAGCATGGGAATGATATATACTGGGTTTACCTCAGTGATATGTGCAATAGATTCCTTCAAAAAAGTAAAAAAAAAAAAAATCAGTTAGTTTTACTGAATGAAAGTATATTTCAATGCATATTAAAAATGAAGATATTTAGTAGGTTATCTTTAATAGGTTACTAATGGGAAAATCAATAAAGCTTATATTTAAATACTTTAAAACATTTTGTATAAGCCTACTGTACAAGAAAGATGAGTGCAGCCAAGAGAGAAAAATAAATTAGTGAGCACAGTGTACAAAGAGACATCTAAGTAATGCTAATTCTCTCCACAACCATGGTTCTTTCTCTGGCTATAAGTGATCTTTCAATTTCATTTGATTCTTAAAATCAAACACACAAACATACAGTCTATGACAACATATTGTAGTGCTCTTGCAGTTCACTTGCTAATACGCTGGGCTTCAAATAAACCATGAGAAATAAATATTTTCTCTGAGGCATTTGTAGAATTCTGAAAAGTATATATTTATGTTCTCTAATGAGCAAATGATAAGTACTTTGTGGTAAAGAATTCTCAGTTTTAGGACTACATTGCATCTCACTGATTCTTATTTACCTAAATGGCAAACTTAATAATCAAATATGTCCTGGTACAAACAAGCCTGCATGTTTGTAAGCATATTATTTCTATTGGCATCTGTCTTTAGTTGGTTCTATAGCTCCTATGCATTAAAGGCACACAGTAAATACTAAGAATACAGGTCAGATTAGGCAGAGCTTATGGCTGAGATAAGCTTGTGAGCTTCTAAAATAAAAAGCAGCAAAAGAGGCAGTCCATTTATTTAAACTATTTAGTACTTACAAGTGGTCAGAAAGTGAACAAATATTAAGATCTCAACATGCAGGAGCTTAACTTCCAGAGTGAATTGATACTCAGTGAGTATAAACTGCTGTGTTGTTTGTGAGTGATCTCTGCATGTAAGATACATTTTTAAATATATTTGCAAGGCAATCTTTTATTTAAAATAAGAAGCTAATGGTGATATATAAAACATGAAGCCATTCAGATATCTTTGCCCCAATCATCATGCAAAGGATAATTACCTAAGAAGCAAATGATATAGTGGGACTAACACAATGTAACTCAACAGGAAGACAGCACTACACTGCCTCCTAGTGATATCTGCCTTACCTCACTGCTGGAAACACTCTCAGTCTGTAAACAAAACAGGTATCAAATTAGGACATCCAAATCTTTAAAAATGTAGTAAAGTTAGGTTTGGAATTTTTCTCAGTAAAAACTCTTACCTCGGAGGATACACTAAGTACTTCCTTCAGTAAAAATAAACAACAACAACAACAAAAAAAAAACAATTAGTGACTGTATCTACCCTTGTTATTAAACATGCTTCCTATTTGATTTTTATGCCATATACTTCTTCTTTCAGAAATTAAAAACAAATATTATATGCCTTTTACAATCTTGTGAACTTCTATTTATTATTTCTCTGATCTTTTGGTAATTTTTTTATTGGCACATTCCTACATGATATAAATATGTTCATAATTTTTGATGAGTGATCAAAGTAACTGTAATTTATACTGAACACTTTTTTTTTAGTATGCCTCTGACCCTACTCATTGTATGGCCATGATTCTTGATTCTCTTTCTTCCTCTGAATATCTCTTTGGACAGGCACAGTAAAACCTGACCTGCTCATCTAAAGAGATGCATACTTTTTTATCATAAGCATGAGATACTCAAGCTACTCATGTTAGTTTACTTCTGTGAAATCATATTTATTTAACGTATTTCTATTGGCTTGTTTTGTTTCTTATTAGTCTGTTTAATTTTTTTGCCAGGAAAATTTGTTGTACAGTAGTTGAGTAAGCATTTTTTCCAGCTTGGATACCCTGCTGGAACTTTGAGACACTGAGTGATTCTCAAAGTAGCAGCAATCAAATAAACAGATCTGCAATTCTCCATTAATTGTACACTAAAGACTGCCACTGCTGTTACTGTTTGCAAATTATCAGACCATTCTCTATATCTTAGTTACTTAGGAACTTTCTTTACACACCTCCCTTGCGAGGGCAAGTGCCACAAGGCAGGCGAGGATGAGGACCTTCATGGCTGTCAAGTCCTGTGAATGAGGAGGTGAAGAATTAGTAACAGATTAGTTAGTTAACTAATGTCAAAATCTACTCTGCTTCCTAAACACTTTTATTCCTATATATCAGGTTTAGACTTCAGTAGCAGCCACCATGTTTTCTTCAGCTCATAGCTCTCTTCCACTCTTTTCTCTTAACAGTGGTATGAATGCCTTACAAAAGCTATGAAGAACTCGTGAAGAACTGAAACATTTAGTCCATTTATTTAAGCTATTTAGCACTTACAAGTGGTCAGAAAGTGAACAAATATTAAGATCTCGACATGCAGGAGCTTAACTTCCAGAGTGAATTGATACTCAATGAGTATAAACTGCTGTGTTGTTTGTGATTTGATCTCTGCATGTAAGATACATTTTTAAATATATTTGCAAGGCAATCTTTTCAGTATTTGAAGGTGGAAAACTATTCTCTGAGTGAAAAAAAAATTTTTGGTTTCTCCTATGGGTGATGCATTATTAACTTTTCTTTCTCTAAAGCCTCCTCTATGGGTTTCCATATGATTTAATTGTTCTAGCTTAAAAGAAAGTTGTACCTTTGTACATTATAACTGTAGAAAGCAGTTCTTAGATTTTATCCTTACCATTGTATATACCAGTGTTAAGCCAGAACTTTATTATCTGGTATGTTATAAGGTGTTTCTCTTTCAACTCATTTTACTTCTATGATGACTGTTTCTATGTCATTTTTGACCTGTTTCGAACATTTTTTTAAATAAGAGACTTATTGATATAAGTCTTATTTTTAAAAAGAGAGTTCTATTTTACACGTTTTAAACATTTTTGTAAATAATACAAGCTAGATCAAAAATCCCGAGTCCCTGGACAAACTTTATGGTTAAAATGGTCTTGCTTTCAAACGGCAGCATAATACTTATCTTTCCGTGATATAATTTGAATGTATTTTATTAGTAAAATATACCAAATCAAATAAGATAGCTTATTTAAGAATCAGTACTCAGTCAACATTCAGGGAATCAATATTCACTGCCTTTGTATTTACTTTTACATTTTCTCACTCTCTTGAAACCTATAGCCATTTTAAATTAGTATCAAATCTTTCTGGGCATTTCTGACATTTTAAAGCCTTAAATAATCCCTTAAGATAATCTCATTACTTCTTCGATATTTAATTTCAAAAAACAAAAAAATTTAAGTACTTTTATTCTTTCCATAACATAGTCTAGCATTTAAGTGAAATAAATAATAAAAATTATATTTCAAATTTATGTCTGAATTTCTTACCTTTAGCAGAGGACAAGAGTGAAGGAGAAGCTGAAAGGATGATGGTCTACTGGCCTCTGCGACTATATATATTCTGCATTTAATGACATGCTAATTTTGTGGTTTGTAAGACACTCAAAGAAGTCCCTTCAATTCTAAGAAGTCCTCATGATCAGAAAATGATTTCTTTCTATTGTTTTTTTTTCCCAAGAAATTCAGGGGTGCATTAAACAAGGCAGCAATTCAGAAGCTGGAAAGGAAACTTGTCCAGGAAAAGAAACTGTCCAATAACTTGAAATAACTAGCTGGCCCTCAGGCCTTGCACACAGATGCTGCAGTCCCAGATTTCTTCCCAGCATAGTGGGAGCTTTAACCTCAGATGTGGGGCAATCATATAGAGACATCAAAGCTATACAGAGTTTTTCAGAGACTAGAGTTTCATCTTGTCTAAGCACTAAGAACTCAATGATGATATGGAAGTCTTATCATATGCAGCAGTCTCCTTGATCTCTCACATTCACCTGATTGTTATATCTCTCACATTCACCTGAAATATTTAGCTCACATAGGGCTGTATTTTATACAGTAATAGGACAAGGCACAGATCACCTAGACAAAAACTGAATAGGGAAATATTGACATTTACAGAGGTCCTAAATCAAATGGACTTAATAGATGTCTGCATAACTTTTCACCCAAATTTAGCACCTCATGGAACCATCTAAAAAATTGACCATATAGTTGGGCACAAAACATGCCTCAACAGATACAAAAAGATCGAAATAATCCCTTGTATCCTATCAGAACACCGTGGCCTAAAAGTAGACCTCAACAATGACAGAAATAACAAAAATACACAGGGAAACTAAACAACTCTTTACTCAATGACAGCTTAGTCATGGAAGAAACGAAAAAAGAAATTAGACACTTCCTAAAATTCAATGAAAATATAGGCACAACTTAGCCAAACTTATGGGACACATGAAAGCAGTGATAAAAGGAAAGTTCATTGCACTAAGTGCCTCCAGAAAGAAGGGGGAGACATCTAATACAAGCAACATAACAGAATGCCTAAAAGCCCTAGAAGAAAGGAAGCAGATACTCCGAACAGGAGTAGATGGTTGGAAATAATATAACTCAGAGCTAAAATCAATGAATTAGAAAGAAAGAAAACGATTCAAAGAATCAATAAAACCAAGAGTTTGTTATTTGAGAAAATCAACAAAATAGATAAGTTATTAGCCAAATTAACTAAAAGGCAGAGAGAAACTATCCAAAATAGCAAAATAAGAAAAGAAAAGAAAAGAAAAGAAAGGAAAAGAAAAGAAAAGAAAGGAAGGGAAGGGAAGGGAAGGGAAGGGAGGGAAGGGAAGGGAAGGGAAGGGAAGGGAAAGGAAAGGAAAGGAAAGGAAAGGAAAGGAAAGGAAAGGAAAGGAAAGGAAAGGAAAGGAAAGGAAA